ATGAATCCGTAAACGTGCGCATCGCCGGATGTAAATTGACGACTTCTGCTCGAATATCTTTTTCTTCTTTAATTCGTGAGCCATATAATAAACAACTTAATAACCGAGAGTGAGGGCGTTACGGAAAAATCTCAAACCTCGGCCTACCGTATTGACCTCAGTTTGAGATTTTCCCGTAACGACCTCACTCTCGGTTATTAAGTAGTTATTATTACTAATGATCATCATCATCAAGGCTTTATGATGCCTCTCAACCACCAGGCAGGCAGGCAAGCAGGCATGCAAGGTACTCTTCAATTGTTAGTTGACAGAGCTCTAAAGCATCACATATCTTTTCTGTTCGACAGTATTTCACTTGATGCCCGATCGATTTCATACGTGTTCCATGTCACAATTACCGATGTAAACAATGTTTCCCAGATCCCGCTTTGTAAGCTATTCTCCGACTTACAAGGAACACAACCAACTGATACTGAGGGATTTGATTTTGTCTTTGAACACTATGAACAGAAGCTACATTTACACATCGTATTGAGGAAAGGCACCACCTTCGCTGCTTCAGAGAAAGCTATCTTGACCCACGCAGATTTTCTTCCAACAATGTGCAAACGAGTGAAAAAAGTCCAGGTCAGTGTTCAAAATATAATTTGCAGTCAATTTACTGATAATGAGGCCCTTCACTTGGGATAGTCTGTTTCCTTTTCAACAAATAAACTCCTAAAGACACGGCTGGGAAAAGCCAAGTTTATCTCGAAAATGAAGCAAAAACCAGCGACAAAAATACACAACAATGTTCTATTACATTGAAGACCATATGCAAAAATTTAGGCACTTTTGGGAAACTTTTTTTTCACCCAAACCATCACCAAGCATGGTTTTGCACTAGCCCATTCAATTAATGTTTTTATTCTTTGTTCCTTTTTTTCCTTTGTTTTTTTCTTTAACGCACACGTTTATGTCAAGAAACCATTTACCTAAAGGCAGTGTTTGTCTCTCTGTTTCTTGTGTTTAAAAAATCGTCTGGAGCTTTTGTAATCATTTGTTTATATCGATTGCTTTCAAACTAACAATATCACGCAGGTTTGTGAAGTAAAAACCAGGAAGACTTTCCCTTGCAATCGAATCGCTAAGGAAAAATATCGAAAAATTGTTCCACCCTCTACCTCTCTAAAATAACACATGATGACACAGTGCAAGCAACTGTAAAATGGCCTCAGACGGCTGATGTTCGAAACCCGGGGTGACTCCTTTATGAAAAGGTCGGGGACGCTCATTGTCTCAGGTACAAATCAAGGACTCTGGTCTCTTTTAGGGTGTTGATGATGAAATGTCACTATTTTTACCCATCAAAGTATCCTTTAGGGTGCACTAGAAGACAGTAATAAAAGAAACGCTCTCATTTAATTTCTGTTTTCAGGCTTGATTTCCGCTGCGAATATGCGAGTCGGGTGTACAAGTGCGCACGGCATCCTTTCTTGACAGTGATTAGTAATCAAAGCTATTCCGTTTTAAGTAGTATCTTTTAGGGGTGTAAATGAAGCTTGAGCAATGCCCACATTAGTCTCCTTTGGGAGTTAAATTCAACTTTTCCAACTAGCATCCCTGACCTTTTCATATGGGAGTTCCCCAGGGTTCCAAATGTCTAACAAGAAGTGACAGAGTGAATGAGTGAAATTGTTCCACCACTACAACTTAGTTAAAAACAAAAATGTGACATATAAAAATAATATAGTAATTGCCATCAATTTTTATGTGGCTAATCATAACTTACCTTAATTATAAATATTTTTCAAAATCACTTTTACAAAGTAAAGCAAAAACAGGATACATACCTTTTCACTATGAAAACCATCACAAGCAAAGCAATAAGTCCAACTGCAACACCTACTCCAATTAAGATGTACTTGGTGTTCGATTTGACTTTCCTCTGATTAGAATGGCCACCAGCAGGAACCCCTTCGTCTTGACCATCAACCATGACAACCTCATAACCAGCCAGTTTGTATCCATTGTTACTTATAACATCATGAATAAACGTTTTTGGAAACACCTCAGTGGTGTTGGTAATGTACAACACAGCAATTCCTACAAACACACCATTATCTTGTTGCTTTGCAGTTTCTGTAATGACTATCTCGTCCACTTGAAAAATGAGTTTGGCGCTTCCTCCTTTCCTGGTAAGATTGCCATACTAAGGATTAATACGTCATCACAAAAATTATTAAACATTGATAACTTCTTTTAAAAAGTGAGTGTTACTTCCAAGTAATGCAAATAGTTCATTCAGCACCTGGGCTGGGGCAAGCCTTAAAGCATGAATGTGCATGGTGATTCAAAATTTATTTGCAACTATTTATATGAAAGAGAGCTCCTGAAGATGATTTTTTTTAAGAATGATAATCTGAAAGGTTTTCCAAGTAATTTATGCATATAGCATGTATTCGTGATGCCGCTAATGGTCCCGAATTATGAACACACATGCGATTAAATACTCTTCATATTGCTGTGTTTGGTCTAGAATTTTGCTAATTTAATTAACAAAATGTTTTTAATGTTTTGCGGGGGCATAAAGCTCAATAACTGTGTATAAAAGGTCGTTTTAAACTCATTTGTTTGTGACTTTGTTGTTGCAAAATCCGATGCCACTCTTATCAAAGTGGCATTAATCCACATCACCAGTTACCATGGTGATTGAAATGCGATTCTTTGAAATGCATCTAGGAAAAAATGTAAACAATTTCAGATGCCATGAATTTCTATGCAGGTCTAGGCTAAAACCTTTCTCTCTACTTCTAAATCACTCAGCCGAGTGGTTTTACAGCATCTTTTGGTTTTCCAAAATTTTGTGATTTTTTTGGCCACATTCCTTTGATTTACAATTTTTTGGGAACACAGTTTCAGCTTTAAGGATTACAATTATTTTTTCTCGAAAGCACATTTTATACCCTTTCAAATGAGATATTGCATTCTTCACTGCTGTAAATATTTGCGCAGATATTAAAGAAAACATGTGATACTGTAAATTTTGTCATTTTTTTCCGTCAAAAGAGTAATGTACTTCTGGGACCATTGCGGTCATTCTTCAGCCCAACAACATCCCTGTAGCCCACAAACCTGTAACTGCATTACAACATTTACTGACCAACATTTAAGACAGGCACAAACCGAATGACAGACACGGAATTTACAAGATTAAATGTTCTGACTGCCAGGTTTCCTATACAGGCAAGATCAACTAAAACCTAAACCCCACACCAACTGAAACCCCATTTATATGGTCTCGGTTACCCAAGACAACACTCCCTCCGAGTTACCCTGGCCCGAGGTAACTTTTAGCTTCTTTCTCTGCAAAATTCAACCAACCGTTTACATTAGGATCGCAAACCTGTCTCGGGGGATGAGACAACTTGGGTGGGCAAGTTGTCTCGCCTCGGCAGGTAGGGTAACCCATGCGAACGGGACAACTTCTTCATATAAACACTTTAGCTCGCCTAACCGGGACAACGCTTGGCATGGCAAGTGTCATATAATGCCTAGATTTAGGATTTAAAGCAGAAATTCTATCAAAGAAGTGAAAATTAACTTGGCAAAACCCACTGTGATGGAATGACCGAGGGAAACTCAAAGAAAGAGGGATATCTGAACATTTTATTATTCAGTAAGGGTTATGAAGAATCATGCATTGTCAACATTGAATCGGCCTACAGGAACTACATTTTCTCATATAATTGCGGAGAGGGTTGTCTCAGGTACCTGAGACCACATAACCTTAACGTAGCCTTAACTCTCTCCAGCAGGGAAAAGCAACTGATTTTCAAACAAAATTTTGACCCTTTAGTTGCAAAAGGTATCAGATTAGTTTTGGGTTCTGTCATCTCAAACAAATAAAAAGACCTGACTGAAGCCCTATCAAGTCTGGTTCCAGGGTATATACCATCCTTCCCATCCCAGGTTCCCTAAAGGTGGGTATGGAATAACTTATGTGACTTCAAAATAACACAGAAAATTGAGAATTCAACCAAATGCATTTTTTCATTTGGCAGAATTACTTCTTCATGTAATAGCATTTTAGCAAAATTGCGGATATATTTGGGCTTACTTGCATTCTAAGGGACAGTAGTTAGTTGCTTTAAGTAACATCACTTACCTCAAAGCATCAGAGCAGTCAACTTTTGCACAGTACAAATTGAGGTCTTTCACCATTTTCAGCTTGAAGCTTGTCTTGTTCCACTAAAGAAACATGTTTAAGTGATTAGCGGGTATATATGAGCTCCACATTGTGTTCAGTCTTGTGGTTACCGTTAGCTATGCTGCATGACATATCCCAAATCATGAAGTAATAACCAAAACTACTCAAATTCAAAATGCTTTTTAAGCCAACTCGTGATGTAATACATATGACAGGATAGTTAAAAAGATTTTGACGAGTTTGTATGTTGCATGACACAGCATAAATTTTAAAACAATTATTAATTTACAAATAATCGTTAAGCTTATTTAGGAAGAACACTTCAGCCGTTTTCATCATTACTACTGTTATTGGGTGTCACAAAAATAACTGAATGTAAGTGAAGAATGATCATTGCAGTAAATTTTCCAATTTAAGCAATTGGAAAGAAAAAGCCTGAAAAAATCAGGGCTTCAATGGGATTCAAACCCGTGACCTCTGCAATACCGGAGGTATATAATTCATATATGAATTATTTCATATAAACTTCACATAATAACTGAATGTGTTATTTACACATATATTTTATAAGTTAATAACTATAATCAACTTAATTTCTGTGAAATGAAACCAAATTCACATTTTAATTTCACCTTTAGAATTACCCGGGAGAGTCAAGGGCTATTTTGAAGTTAATTTTTTTTGTCTTTGAGACAAAAATCTTCATTCCCTCATTGCACTAAAAAATTCTTGAATAAGAGGATACATATTACTCACACTGGAGCAGACCCAAAACTGACCAAAATACTTCCAAATCACCAAATATCAAATTATGCGCTTTGTCAGATGACTTTTATGAGCACAAGTACCTGCCAAGCTATCTTCTGACCTCAGTGGTGAGTGAGAAAGAAACAGCAATCCAGTATATCTAAAATATCCATGAATAGCTAACATGGCCAGGTAGTCTGGAAAATGGGGGCCAAGATTGGTGGTTCGAATCCTGGTGTGAGACTTTTTATCCTTCGAGCTAACAATGGATGGTTTCCATTTAGAGGTATTGGACAATAGAAATGCCTAATGTAATAATAAAAGAAAATGATGTGGTATGGAATGTTGAAATAATTCGTGGAAGAAAAACGCTTCTCAAGCGTGAAACCCTTGCACATGATTTTTGCAAAAGTCAAGGTAAAAACCACTGTCAAAGCAGTCGATGGATCGATTTACCTACCCACATTTGTTGTATACCAAATATCTTTAATTTGGGAGCCCTTGTTTGACTCCAAACATGAAAGATCGGTTCACAATGGTCAAGCAAATGTTGCCCCTCGTTCAAAATACCCAGGTCAGCAGAATTATCACCAAAAAACTATTACGAACTCATGATTCACTGACCGAGCAAGTGAATAATGTCCTTCCCAACTAACTGCTATCACTCCTGAGTCCTCTGACAATTTCTGACCTTCCGCATGTCAGCAGTGACTTGTACTGGCTCCATTTTAAAGCTCGTTTGAAACCCGTCCTTCAGAAATAACCTTACTTGTTCCATAAACCTAATTCCCCCGGCTCTTGGTTTCTGTAGGAACCAGCCTTCACGCTTGGTTTCCAGACTTCCTTTGGTGCAGAACGGTCCTGGTTGGACTTTTGAATTATCAGCGAGAGACAACATTGAAAACTTTCAAGCCTATTGGTGAAGTAGGTGATCGAATTTCTCTTCGTGAGGATGGAAGTTTAGTCCATACTTGCCAAAATTAGTGTGGTGAGGTCATTAAAGGTGGAGAAAACATAAGAGCAGCTGCTTTCATTGAATTCAAACATTATCTGCTTTTCTTCTGACTCCTTGCTTGGTACCTTCATATGTCTGGCTGTGACAACAAAGAATCGTTCATCAATGTCCTTTACTGCTACAAGGCCTGGACATCGAACTTTGAGATCTGACCATGATATCAGTTTCCAGGACCTATGCCATAAGCCTTAGAGACTCTGAGACTGTTGGTGCCATATGAAAAATCATGAAATGTATACAGCTGCAGCAGTTCAGTTCATCTGTTTTGCCTCCAGAGCCTTGCACATATCCGAGGAAGTCAGTTTCTGTTTTCAATTTTTTTTACATTTGAATAGCTTATCTACAATTTCATCTACAACTTATCTACTACGTACTCAGGACAAGCCTGAAAACCATCTGATGGTGAGGTTGCCTCCTGGTTACAGATATTTTATTTTAATTATTTTCATTATCATTATCATTATTATTATCATTATCATTATCATTATCACTGTCATTACAAGTAGGACTGGCAAAACAATGTTATAATTTAATTTATAAAATAACTGAGATACTGCGAGCACTCTGACTGGTCAGAAACCTATGGTTTACTGTCCCGATAAAACCATAGAAAACTGAAACATTTTCCTGTCCTGAAATATGGACGCTGCTCGTGGCGACCTCCCAGATTTTAAGGTGGCTGGTACCAGTTTTCTTGCGTGGGGAGTAGATCACCACATGTGTCACGCGTGAGTAACACGCACGATAGAGGCGTGAGATTTAAAACTCAAAAGACTAAAAGAAATATGACGGCACGCGGCTCATTTCGAACAAGGTCACTTTTGTACTGTTGGAAATGAAATTCGCATATAAAGGAGGCTTTACCTGCTAGAACAACTTTAGTCAATTCTGTGTATTTAAGAGGAATTATTTCAGGAATTCAATGTTTCCCAAATTTCAAAGGCAACTCGATTGATCGTGACAGCCACCGGGAACGTATAAAGGACTTGCAAAACATAGGAAATCTACCCAGAATTTGTGTAAAAAATCCTACAGAGTAAGCCCAGGAGGTTGTCTTTAATGACAACTACAACTGTAAATGATGTTTTGGCAGCAAACAAAACAAAACGCCTGTTTGGAGCCCACTCACCCGCACGGGCACTCAAAGCAGTCAGTGGTAGTCAAAACAGCTCATGAGCAACTGCTGATCTTATAAAGTCTGGATTTTTGAATGCGTGGCTACATACGTGGGAATAATGGAACTCGAGAAAGCTTTTACATGAAAACAAGCCTGGTGACCCCTTCTTTTTATTGTTTTAATATAATATTATTGAGAAGAAATGTCAGAAAAAAATTTCTTCCGAAAGAAATTTGCACTTTGTGTGAATTGTCGTTTTTCCAAGTTTACAAGAAATCGGCTACGTAAAATTATTTTAAAATTGTTGTGCATTTTCATTTTCAGATGCCAAAAGCTATTGGTTAAAAAAAACTCGGGGTAACCGGGTTAATTTCTTAGTTATTAGTGACATAACTGAACAATTAGGGCTGGAAAATCCCTTTGGAATGTTGCCATGGTAACTGCTGACAACAAAATAACAGCTGTTTTAGGTCAGGTATAGATTATATAATCCAAACCTACAAAAATATTACAGTAGCCCTGGTCTGCCTTTCTGTTCTATTCTTACAAAGTTATGAGCCGTCAAAAACCTGAAAACTGGTAAGAGCCACCCTAATTTATTGACGGCCTTTGGTTTGGAGGAATTCAGAAACGAAAAAGATGCTATGAACGCCAAAAGGAATGAGGCTAGTGGTGAGCAGAGCAAAAAGAAGAGAAGATTTGTGGAGATGGAAAAGCATGTCCTCCATGATATGGCCACAAATTCACAGGCTAAACAAACTAAAAAAGCAACACAATGGGCGGTCTCAGTTTTTACAGGTCTGTTGAAACAGTACAAGTCTATTTTTATTCAGTATTACAAAAAATAAGCTTAATTTGCACAAGGGAAAACAAAAGAGGACTCAACCGATATTATTAAAACGTAAACATTTCACTGTTTTCCACTGTGCCAAATTTGTCATTAAAATGGTTCACATGCACACACGCTCCGTCTTTTTGTTTCACTCAAAAATGCTTAAGCTTAGAGATATGTGATTTCTTTTTTCTACAGAGTGGAGTAAGCAGAAATTACACTTTCAGAGCTACAGTATTGTGCAAAAGTAACGCAAACAAATTTCGGCGAAATTCCTGGCTTTTCAGGGCTCTTTGAAGAAATTTTGCTTAAAACGATATTTCCATGAAATTTCCCCACATTTTCGTGACACCTATTGTTTTGATCTGCACGATTTTTCGAACACTAATTCGCTTTGCGTGATGATTCACCGTGAATTTTTGAGCGATAATTCGCTCCTCCTGAAAAGTCGCTGCAATTTTTTGAACGATAATACACTCCTCCCGAAAATTCGATGTATTGTTTATCAATAGGCCAAGAGCAAAACACAGTTCGCTAAGTGAAACATACAAAAGACCTTTCCAATCGTTGCGTACAAAAGAAACCATTAATCTGCCGAAATAGCATCACAGCTCGACGAAATGTTAGCTATGAAACTCACCTGGTTATTTCAGAAGGAATGCTAAATTGTTGACTTGATCCAAAACCCTAAAACACCACAGTTCTGATAAATAAATGCAATTGTACTTAATCACTATGTTATACACTTGCCAACACGCCATTTTCACAGCATGTAGAACCACATGATTTTTCTCGCGCCAGACCCCTGTCTCCGTGCCAGTTTGCTGCCATAGCAACTGTTCGTGTTTATATAACTTAGACCAGAAAACATTCCCTCATTCGCTTTACATTTAATATTTATAACACCTCGATGGTCAGTCATCATGCCTTAAGTTTCAAATTATACGAGAACTCAAATCAAGCTCTTTCACAAGCAAGATCTCCACCCAGCTGGAATATTCAGGTCATTGAAGAACAAAGGTTTACTAGTAAGCAGTAGTAAGCCACGCTAGCGTCTCTCGAATCATCAGAAAACTAAAAATTACTGACCCCATGGTGAATCTAATGTGCTTGGGAAGACCAACAAAGGTGTCTGTGGATGCAAAAGCATTAATAGATCAACAGATGCAAAAAAATGATGAGACTATAAGCCAACAGATTCAGAGGATGTTAGCAAAATGTGGGATTTCCGTGAGTTCGTCCACAGTATGAATATCTCGCCAACAGCAAGGCTGGACTCTGCAGCAGACCGCTTATTGTCAGTTCATCCAAGATCTCGCAATATTAGGTCACACATCAGTTCTCTAGTTTTTCTGTAATGTTCTCGTTATGCTGCAATATTTGAATTTTCATATTAAATGTTAAAACTTGTAATAAAATTTTGGAAACGGATTGTTGTTGCAATCATCCATATCTGTGTATCCCTATAAGTTAGAGTCCCAATGATTTTTATTAAGACGACGAAAGTGGAGCGAAATAATTGCGAACTGTTCGAAGACTTAAAGCAACACCCAGTGACCTCAGTTCAGGGTTGTCCGAAAGGTGGATAATGTCATCCAGCCTTTGAACAACTTGGACCAGGGACCCGTTTCTCGAAGGTCTGAGAAGTTCTTGCACTCGGCTGGAAAGCCATAGCAAACTCTCAAACCCTATGATTACAGCACTGTTTTATTCGCATATTCTTAATATGAACAGAGGCTCTCTTCATACGAGAAGTTTCAGGCATATACACCTCTCAGTTTTTAGGTACTTTCCAGGGCTTTCAAGAAAGTTTAATAAACAACTGCGAGGGGACTGGGATGGTGGTAATTCGGTATGGAAATAAACATGACTTGGATTCGCGAGCGTGCACATGCGTTCAGATTGAAAAACCCTCATAAATTGTTTGCGACTGTTTACTTAGCGGCGTAAGTACACAGAACTGGAGATGTTTTTGTTTTCTTTGTGGAACAAACTGAGGTCATTGTCTTTATAATGCGGTTCAGTGTATTCTGATTCTCTGCATATGAAACTGGGCCTGAGCTGAACTTGAGCAAGCAAAGCTGCTTGAAAGTCTTTCGCAAACTTTAGGTGAGTAAGATTTTAGTAACATATTTCTCATAGATAAAATGTTATCCCCTTAATTGGTGATCGATGACTGCAAACTGGCACGTATTTACAAACAACTTATGAGCACGTATTTACAAATTTATCGCTTGTAAGTTACAATACAGTTTTTTTGTATCAGTCACTAAAAGAACATTGCGTGAACGCTGCCGAACTGCTGTTTGATACGTTGCGAATTTTCGTGTACTGCCTAGCAAACTATTGTTTGTGCTCACGAATTTTCTTTAGCTTAACGAAACTTTGAAGAAAAATTGCCCTTTGTTCAAGCGAATTAACGCTTGATACGCCATGAAATTTCACTTGAACTTTTGTGCGAACTTTTGTCGAAAAGTCATGGGAAAAAAGAATGAAATTTGCGCATTTCGCTTGCATTTCTTTTGCACAATACTGTAGATTAACGTTTCCGTCAGTTTTATGCCAAAGCTCGTAACCAAGATGGAGGAAATTATAGCAGAGCAACACTACTTGCCCTCAGAAATGGCATCGAGATATACCTTAATTTGCCTCCAAACAACGGTGGCATTTCGCTGGCCAGAGATTCCCAATTTGTTCTGTCAAACAAGATGCTAGATGCCAAAATTAAACAGTTAAAGAAAGACAGCATGCAAAACACAACACACAAACCAGCCATTGAGCTGGAAGATCTTGAAATGCTCAAAAACAGTGATATTCTATCACTTACTCACCCCTTGTCGCTTTTGAGAAATGCGTGGTTTCACATCTCATTGTTTTGGTGCCGCTGTGGCTTTGAAGGCCAGCGAAGTCTTAAAAAGAGCAGTTTTGTATTTAGTGAAGATGCGAAGGGCGACCATTTTGTCTCAATGGCACATGATGAAGCAACTAAAAACCACCAAGGCGCTGTTTGTGATGTTGAGAGTTTCGAGAGAAATGCAAGAATGTACAAAACCAGTTGTAAAACCGATGGTTATACCGCTCTTGATTTTGTGCTATCGAAATTGAATCCAGAATGTGAAGCACTATTCCAGTATCCTAAACGAAACTGGGAGCCATCTGACAATGTTTGGTATGAAAACAGGCTGCTCAAAGTAAACAAGCTCTCAACCACGATGAAAGATATCAGCTCCACTGCCAGACTTTCTCGTATCTACACAAATAATTCAGTTAGGGCGACAGCCATAACCTTGTGGGAAAATGCTGGCCTCACAAATCAGGAAATCATGGCGATATCCAGTCACCGCAATGAGTCCAGCCTGCAAAACTACCACAACATGCCTTCTGTACAACAATTTCGCAAATGCAGCAACATCCTTACAGTAGCACTTGGTGATGATAAAGTTCAGCCGACCACTACAGATCAGCTTGTGAGTAACGAAAGAAGGCCTCCGTTACAGCAGCTGCAAGTTCCATCTGTCAACACGGCAATTTCTTACACAAAGCAGAACACAGATGTGTTCAGTCAGATGTTCAGTTCATGCACGATTGGAAATGTCCACGTCTTCAATTTCAAGCCATGACAGAACAATTCTGTTTCCTTTAAACTGAGTGTATCATCTTTCACAGATAGTGGAAATATTGCCTTTTGCATTTCTTTTTCATGCTTGATGAAAAGTTAAGCATTAAATTATTTCTTCGGCACGATCAAGAATGTTTTGAGGGCAGATTTAAAAGATGAAAGAGATGTTGTATTTTTAACAGAATCCGGTACACAGTTCCATAATATAGGTGCGGAGAAAGAAAACGCACGTTCACCGTATGTCACAGAGTTCACAGTAGGGACAGTGAAAAGAAGTTTAGAGGATGAGTGTAGGCTCTGTTGCGGGTGGTATTGTTGTAGGAGGGACGACAAGTACGCTGGACAAAGTCCATGGATAATCTTAAAAGTCTAGTGCTGTAGAGTATAACTTTGGTTTTATATTGGATCTTTATGATTACTAGATTTTTGTTAAAGTAACATTCTTTGGACCTGACTTTAACCTGTTTTGCTCCTTGTGAATATTTAATGTGATTTGGCTTCTTTTTGTCACATAAGCACCCCATAACGTCTTTTAACGGTCATTCCTTCAATTTGCCCCATAATAGATCTACATTATGCAGATTTTTTCGATACCTAAACTCAACATTAATGATCAAAAGAAAGTTAAGAACCTAAACAACCAGCTTACTACACCTTTGTTTTACAGCAAAAGCTACATGCTATGTTTCTTTATACCTGGTCCAGATTTCCATCCAAAACAATTTCTTCAGTATCATTTTCTGCAATAAAATTGACAGAGTAAAAAGCAGCATTAGTCTTGATAACTGTCTTTGTTATTCCAGCCTGTGTTGCCAACCATTTGTCAGTTTGCATACTGTAGTATGCTTACATATTTGTTAAAAAGGTTCATACAGGCATTAGACCTTCATTTCAGGGCCACAGCCTGGGTGAAGTTTATACTGGGGTAGCTCATCATGAGTGCTGAAGGTGCAAACCTCTAGGGGTACTTGGGCATTATCCACTGGGATACTGGGGCATTCTCCCCTGGGATTTTTTTACATATAGCATCTCTGAAATAGCATTTCCAGCCTTCTGAGAGTAGTTTCCAGTAATTTTCCACTGACTAAAATTATCGATCAGATATGTTAATTTGTTGTTGTACTCTTCTGATTTAACAGGTGTATACATACTAATTGCTTTCGAGTGGTACAACTTAGAGAGAGAGAGCGTGCGGTATAGGAATTAAACTTTTTTTTTGGTAGTAGTCTTCAAAAGGAGTCCCTGGATGTTCATGTACACTTAAAGTCTTTATGATCAAATTAGATGTGATGGAAGTTGTTGCAAAATTAATGGCTTCAAAATAGATTTGCTTGTAGTGTTCCTTTGCAGTTTGAAGAAAATGAGGAGTTTGCCATTGTCCAATGTTGAATTGTTTCAGTGATTCTCTCTTTCTTAAAGGTTCGGAGTCTTCCATAGTCTTAATTTCCTTGTCTTTTCTCTGTAAGATGCGAGCCCAAAAGAGATGAAATCACACATCAGTTCAATCTGTTAACAAAATTTTACACCCACTTTCAGTGTAACATGTACAGCAACCATCTTTTGACATGCCATCTCTCGACATGCTATGTAACCTGGCCTACGTAAAAAATGTACGCACCAAAGACTTCTTTACAGTCAAACTTGACTTGTAGTCATGTTAGATGGATTTATTTGACATAAAACTAAGGCTAGGACCATCAAGAAAACATTCTGTGAGACATGGCATGTCGAAAGATGGCCAAAACATGTCACCTATGCACGTAACACTTAAAGCAGGTGTGAACACATCTTGAGCGAGCATATTTCCTTAAACAGCTGATTTTGACGAACTCTGCAAAGCACATCTCAAATTCTCCCACCTAAGAAACTACCACAGTTAAAACTAAACTAATCATACTTTGAACGCCCATGATTGTCTATTTCATTTTTGTGTCCTTTAAGATCTCAAGCAACCTGCCCCAAAGCTCCCTGAGTTGATTAGGATTGTTTAGCACTGATGCTAATGCTTCACCATGCACAGTCCATCGAGTCAGGCAAAGCACATGAACTCTGCTTGACTCAACTCATTCACTATTTTTGCTCTAATTTCATCTAATCTGGTGTTTCTTTGAAGGGAATTTTGTTCTACTAACTTTCCAATTTCTCTGACTGTATCAAGTGAAACACACATACATTTCCCTGATTTTATGGCATCACCTACAGCTAGGCAGGGCAGTAACAATGAGAGTACAAGCCGTTTCATGTGACTGATTTAATCTTTGTTTCCACTCCAGTTTTCTCACTTGCCATCGTTACGGCACTGTCATAGCATTGAAAATGAGTAATTTGAACAACCAGATTCATTTGATGCTTGAATGCGAACTCCTTCATTAACTGTTCTTACTATATGGCCAGCTCTGTGAGCGGGCAAGGTGAATCAAATCCTGCGCCGTGATTGGCTACCCGAGCGGGCAAGATGGAGCTATCTTACCCGCTCGGGACTACCCGCTGTGTCCTGCAAGAAAAATTTCCTCGAAAGCCATATAATAAATCCTTTATTGACCAAGTTTGTTCGGTCAAGATGGCTGGATATTGGCCTCGTTCTTTTTTTGCGTGGTTTTGGACCTCGACTCCATCTTGGTCCATAGACACGCAAAAAAAGAACTTCACCAATATCCAGCCATCTTGACCCAACACTTGGTCAATAACCCATACATCATGGTTTCCATTCTTCTTTCTAGATGGCTCTGGCAGGGATTTCAAAATTAGCCGGCGCCCGGCGCAAGTCACCGGCTACTTCAAGCATTTGCGCTGGGTACTTTTCGTTGCAAAGTTTGTTAATACACAATTTTGCTTTGCCAACGTAGTCATGATCTGATCTTTTTGAGAAAATAAATAAAGTGGTGAAAATCTTAACAGTGTGGCTATTATATATACCTTTCGAACTTCGAAGCAAGAGCAATACTTTTGACGGGCATTATGTACATGTGCATGTATCAGTTTTGTCAAAACGTGAACATTTTCCACAATGAAGCACTGTTGAAAATTTACGGAGGCAAACAGGTAAACTAATATCATGTCCTGTTCCAGTTTTTAAAGTGACAAAAAAAACAATCGGCTAGTATTTGGCCTAAGTTGACCACAAATTGATCCAGCTCTCCAAGCGTCCGCGTGGTGAATGTGAGAGCAGTCTTCATTGTAAAATGTCACTCCACACGTGCTCCAAACGTATTCTAAGTGAAGGTTTGAAAGGTGTCGTAACACTAAAGGCCTTCAGCAATGCAAGTGCTCGGAATTTAAGACAAACGAAAACTCAAAAAATGTCAAAACATTGAAGCAGAAACGAAACGAGATCGCTGATTTGTTGTGATACTTCAAAATCAGTTTTTGGTCATGAAAATGCACCTCAACACAGAGATTTTCAAGTTTTCCAGGGTCTTAACCCCATTCCCATCCCTGTGCTGAAGGGGGTAGCCATTCCGGCACTCTTCTACACGTGGCCTCCTTTATCATGACCCTAGAGTGTGCAGCCTACTTTATGATTTCCACCTGCTACTTTATTGCAATTTGAAAACCCTGTCTGGTCTCATGGATTTAAGATGTGTGCATTACTTAATGAACATTTCACTTTTTAATTGTTGAAGCCATAAAAATTTTCATGCTCTATCAAATTAAAATGAACACCTTGACATTTTCAAAGAGAAACATGAAGAGCCTGGCTGCTGGCCAAAGTGTGTGTCACCCCTTCCCCATGCTACCGCTCTGACTTTCAAGGACTATTGAACAACAACAACAACTTTATTTGTACTCATTCAGCTAGAAATTAAATGAACAAAAATATGTTTAAAATAAAAAGAGTACATGGCTGTCTGAAATAACCTTAATGGGCTAATAAGCCTAGGCAGCCATCCTCAGTGATTTAAAACAATGATTTATTTGGGTCAAATAAGAAGGGAAAATAAGAAAAAAGACATGCAAGAACACACAAAGACTAATTATACATACAGATTTAAAGAAAAATAGGTGGATGATACAGTGCACTTTTGAGAATAGTTATACTTTACAAACAGAGTTACAGATATTCAATATGCACTAATAGCTTGCAATAATGGTTGGCTTGATCTTTTTCTTATAAGTTTAATATCATCACTAATATCATTCCACATCTTTGCACCTTGATATCTAATGTTAAAGAGTCCATAGTTTGTTCTAGTTTTTGGGAGAGCATAAGTCACTCTAGACTCACAGTCTGAGGATAATTCAGCACTATTCAAGGATTGGTTTCCAACAGAATCACTACTGAAATTTGTTCTTGTTACTGGGCACACAAAATACAAAATATTGGATTATCTTGCCTGTTGTGTACTTCACTTAATAATCACGTAACTCCTGTATAATCAAAATCAATGCTTTTGTTGATTTACAGTTCAAATACTTACTTCAATATCAAAATGTAAAGAAAAAAAAAAGGAAACAATAAACCAATAGCTGCAAAAATATGTTAAAACTGAGATCAATTATTTCTTACCAACAGACACACCACATGTTTCGCCAACATAGTATGGTTTACATTGACATGTTCCTGAAGCATCACTACAACTGCCACCATTTAAACAGGGTAGAGATTCACTGCAAAAGGCTTAAAGAGGCAAAATGAACTACTTAAGTAACAACTTTAATATAACTTTTTCCATTTATTAACAATGTACATGCAAACAGTAACTTCAGGTAAGAAGCACTACCCAAACACAGAGCCATGAAAACTGAACAAGAAGTAACAGTTTATATTGGCAATATTATGGCAAAAATTCCTACCATTGGTGCAACTGACCCCTGCATCATTCTGATGGGAACAGTTGTGAGCTGTCCAGCCCAGGTGGCGACAGAAGGACAAGGAAAGTTCATCTCCATTACATTGCACTTGATCCAAGAAAATCTGACCAGACCCTGCACCAAATCTAGCACAGCAATTTGCAGACTCAGCTCGTCTGTAGCCAAGCTGACGACAAACTACATTGGCAGCATTTTGGTCCCAGCCATGGTCGCACACTGTTCCCCACAAACCCTCATATTGAACTTCTACTCGTCCCCTCATATGAGACTGACCACCCACCAGCCGAATATCTGAAGAGAGAGCAGTGAACTTAGTAAACAACTTAAATGAAATATGGTGGTTAACCCACTGACGCCTCATTATGCTGGCCATAACCGACTGCGACAAGCATTGCCCTTTGTTCTACTTCTGACGTCATCAGCTTTCAAGAGACTATTTATTTTCAAGTCAGATAAATCAGCGGCCAAACTATTAAAAAGAATGGCTAAAAGATCTCAAATTTAAGTCCCGAACCGATTTTAAGGCAAGAAATTTTGTTTTTGCCACGTGACAAAATGCCGAAATTGTTTTCCATAGCAAAGAAAGGTGACATGCGTAAATCACCAATTAAGTCTACAAAACTAACCCAAACATCAAGAAATTGATAGAATCTCCAATGTGGTGAATTAGCAGCCAATCTATTGAAAAAAAGCCAGGTAATAAAAGCCAAACATAAAGTAAAACCCACTTTGAAAACAGAACATCAAATAATTTGTGTGTCGTGTAGCAAAACGCCGAAATTGATTTACACAGTGAAAGAGAAGCCAACTGTGGGATAAAGACAAAGACAAAAACAAGCCAATTTTTTTATTAGATTTATAGGATTTTTCTTGTGGCAAATTAGCGGCCAAACATCAAATAATATGAAGCCAAACGGAAGCCAAATAATCTCTAAAAACAAACCTGAAAACAAGAATTGTAAAATTATAATTTTCTCGCCCGGGCAACTAATGTAAACAAACCAACACAGCAAAACCGAATATGCAAATAATTCACAACACAAAAACATGGCCAAAACTAATAAAACTAATCATTACGGTAAGTACTGATCTTAATTATTTGAGTTTCTTTCAGGATATATCGGCATTTGGCTGATGAGAACTCAGGTGATGAAGGATAGCGTGCAAACGAAAAGTTAATTTACAACATGTGATAATCCATGAAGCAAACTTCCTTACAAAGAGCTACACCACACTGCACGCATTCAAAAGCACTTTCTATGGGCAACCTTTGGGAGTTTTTGTACCCACCCTCTTACACTGAACACATTGCCTTTTCCTTCCCTTAATTTTATCAATAAAATGTTTCCCTGCATTCCCCTCCTCAAGTAAACAAGTCTTGATCTTACGGCACTTTGATGATTGTGTGGGAGACACACTAGTTGAATATCCCCGATCAACTGCCTGGCTAAGCCTGTCCTAAATTTCAGTTCCCTAACCTTACCCATCCCTTGGTTTAACCGATGGTAATTAAAAAGAACAAAAGCATTACATATCGATACATCAATCAGAAACCAAGAAGTATACCTATACCACTTATACGAAGAATGACTTAGAGAATAACATTCGCGCAATTGATTGGTGCGGTCAACATCCCCCATAGAGCTATTGTGTGAATTAATTACAACAGGCTTTTGGACTTCCCTATCACCCTGATTAACTTCCAGATCATCCGCTAGAGGGCTTAAATTAGTTGCCATAACACTAACATCCTGTTTGTCACGCCACTTGGTGAAAACTTCGTGGCCTTTCTGACGAACTAACTTCTCCTCAACCCTCAATTTGTCTTTTGCACATGGTAGCAAGTCCTTACAATTACATCTTACAGTCCCGCAAGTGTAAGTATCATTGGCTTCTAAATGCTCTAATAGCTTAGTTGACGTAAAAAAAATATCGAAAAATACATGATGATTCCTATTCATATAAGGTCTAATTAACTTAGTCACTACATCATAACCTAACCCATAAATAAGCCAACAGGCATCAACTTCTTTACCTAAGTATACATCAAAATTCAAAACATACCCATCACTAGAATCGGCCGCCATCCAAACTTTAATTCCATACTTAGTAGGTTTAGCAGGCATGCATTGTCTAAAGGATAACCTCCCCCTAAAACCGATGATACCCTCATACACAGAGAGATTCTTAGTAGGTTTAAACTTAGTTTGACAATTACGTAAAATAGAGTTAAATATCAGCCTCATCTTATAAAGGTGGTCAAAGCCTGGTGTTCCCCGAGTGGGCTCTACACTAGAATCACTAAAATGCAAATAACAATTGATTTCCTGAAATCTATTCCTAGTCATAACCTTCTTAATGCACTGGTTTCCAAAATAATCATCAGATGACCAACATAACGCTGACTGAGGGAGACTACTGATACCTATAATTATGTTTATTCCAATAAATGCCTTTAGCTATGCACGCGTAACCGGAACAAAATTAGCGAGGTGCTCAGGTGAATTTGAAAGTTTTTGGCAAGCATAGCGGCTAGTTTCTACGACAATTAAATCCCATAAATTATTATCTACAAACTCTACAAAGTAATCTAAAGGATTAGGAATCTCAGGTAAGTTAAAATTAAGGCCAGTTGCTACTGTGAAGTCCGAGATGGTGAAGTCGCTGAGATGGTCAGTCCATCGAACTTCTTCTTCTTCATTGTTGGTTCCTCCAGGTACTGGGACGCCATCGTTGTCCTCTTAGCCTTCAAGATCTACATCACTATCACTATCATTATTACTATGTCTACCCTCAAACCCAGCAAAGCTTCCTTCATCCCCTGAGTGTTCAAAAATAGCTGCAAGATCTGGTTCTCTCAGAGTTCTTAGCCATTGTCTCACGCAATTTGATTGTGCACGTGAAGAAAATTTTTCAGAAATCCCCACCTCGTGGGCTGTCTCATCAGCTGTCAAAAAATGCGCATAAGATGGCAAATGATTGGCTAATTACCCCTTTTTATCTTTATGACAAGAAAATAACGAAGTGCCTTGAGGGAGAGTAGGGAGAGGACCTAGTCCCCATGCACTTTTTTTCAGGCGGTTATGGGCGGCATGGGAAATTGGAGGGGTTTTTCACACGGGTGGTTATGGGCGGCATGGTAGTCAATGGGTTAAAGTGCCACTAGCCCCCAAAATTTTTTTCACTAATATAAATTTCCTTTTTCTCCTGATCACCACTGTGAAAAAATTATCGTTGTAGCTATTTTGTTTAACTTTGTTTATTTTTTATTTACAAAGTTTGTAAATTTGCCCTTTTCCATGTTCACTACCGAGGAATAGCGGATGTGAATTACAAGGACAGAATATAGCAGGCCAAAAATCCAAGTAATCANAGAAGCTACTTCTTCATCACGCCCTTCTTCTCCCATCTGCGCTTTGCCCTCTACCCCGTTTAACGCCTGCTACGCATGATAGATAAAGCCATTTCCCTAATTACGTAAGAGTCAGATCATAAATAGGGTATCAAATTTTTGGTCAGGTCAAAAATAAATAAGGTATGGAAAATCGCAGATTTTGGTCATAAATGGGTAAGGGTTTTCGGAAGCGGGCCGCACACGTACCTTCGGGGGAGGAGCGCGGGCTCCTTTCCCGAACAGCAGCTGGTAATCGAGCCTACAAAATAGGGGCACTAAAAAACATGATTAGAAAAAGACTGGGGGAAATAGCAATGTCAAAACTTGCTTGAGTGGGTACCCGAAGTCTCTGTGTGGACCAAAATTCAGAATATAAGCAGTGCTTACTGTTATAGTTTACATTAATCAATGAGTGTGTTTTACTTTTTAAATGCAACCTTAACATAACAGCTACATGGGTATAATGTAGTATGGATTTACACTCACCATAACATTCTACACTTGCATCTCTGTAGTGACCATACTTCTCTTGAATCTCTGTAGAATTGTGAATACATTTGGCCAGTGAAGATTCAGATCCTTTGCACTGAAAATTGGACATCCAAATAGGACCCTTTCCTTTTCCAAAACTACTTCCAGAGTAAGCTCCAACAGCACCTCCAAAATCCACCTGTTTGCAGAGTACATTGGCATCATATATATCCCATCCTAAGTCAGACACAGTGCCCCACAAGCCACCAATCTTTACTTCTACACGACCTTTGAAGAGTGCTCCTCCTTCGTCATTCACTATCCTCACATCAAAGTCTGCCAAGATGGAACAATCCTTGATGAGGACTACTCCCACATATCAAAAGCATGCATATTATTTATTTATTTATAGCATTTTACAGGTAAGTTATAAGAATTGTTCCCTACAAAATTAATCTCAGTAACATGAAGAAAATACAGGGTGAAATTTTAAAGGGCACCTAGCCACCGAAAAACATTGGAGCTAAAGTAAGTTATACCCATGGCCAGCCTATGTGGCAACAATCAAAAAACAACTTTCCTTGAGCTTAATTTACAGTTGAATATATACAAGTAGGGGTTTCAATTAACTTATTTCTAACTATGGAAATGTTGTACATGCACATGTATGTGTGTGTTATCGTTTCGTCTTTTTTGATAGTGATTCTAACATCTTGTTAGGGATTGTTATAGCGGAGCTCCGGCAGCCCGAAGGGCCACCAAGCTGAGCCTCCTAACTATAGGAACAGAACCACATGCATGCATAGAATTAGAAAACCATGCAACTCTTTTTCATGGTCAACATGACTAGCTGTGTAGATCACGGTGCGTGCACCCTCAGACAACATGGTGGCCATACTCCAGCTGAGAGGTCGACCAAGGCATGCAGCCTTGGTTTACAGCATACGTGTTTGATATTGGACATCCACATCATAGCTAATTGACACCTGTCAAAACAAGGTATCCACTGACCAGTATTATGTGACCATATTGCAGGCTCAAGTTTAGAGCTAACTGAGATCACGTGTTTTTAAGAAGTTGAACGCTGACCAAGTGCTGGTTTTTGACAGCATCGTGGGCTCAAGCCAGGTGAACATGCAATCAGGGCCAGGTTGTTCAGAAGCCATTTAACACATCCCAAAACGTTAACCAAAGTAAAATTTTCTTGTATAAAAATGCTTTTAACTGCCTATGTTTTGTGCAGTTTTAGATTCTTCAAACTCGAAACAGAAGGCCAAACAATATAAACAAAAAACCTAACCGCAAAGTTACAAAACTCAATCAAACTTCACGCTTATCCTGGGTAAAATTAATTGGGCTTTGAACAACCAGGCCTAGGAGCTCCACATTTAGGCTTGGCTAAATCTATATATCATCTTGTGAGGGATTGCTGCATCTTGTTGGGATTGTTATATCTTGTTAGTGATTGCTAATGTCTTACAAAAAAGACACTTACAAGCTATAATTATAATGAGGTTGATGTTACAATCACTAACAAGCCAATTAATGCTCAATGACAAGATGCCCCAATAACTAACAAGTTGTAACAGATTTGTTGCTAAAACATAGGTGGTGCCAGGATGGCATGCTGATTAACTTCTTTAATTGTCACATACAGGTAACTATGATTGTTTTATGATGAGAGAGTGTCACAAACACTATATAAACTGTCATAAATAGTCCTTTATTTAGATCATTAGGAGATAAGTCTTTGCCAGTTTTGTNTTTTGAATTTCGAAATTAGGCGGTACGTGACATAAAGCTACGAT